ATTGTTTCATACATAGATAACAGGGACAAGAGATATATAAAATTATCTCTTATAATTGGTAGAGAAAAAATGATAAGATATTTTACAAATTTTGTTTCTCTAGTGAACTTATTTTTGCCAATTGGTAAGACATATCCAATTGGAACTAGGATTTTTTCTCTTGTCTACCCAAGAAATTTCTCCAATTGAATTTATGGTATTATTTACTTTTTGGTTATTGACCTTTATTCTGAAAATTTAAGAAAATATTTATTTAGAAAAAAGTATGACTAAATTCATCCATCATTTTGTAGATATTTACTTTGTACCGGGTCTCTTTTTTGAAATTTATTTAGCGATGTGAATAAGAAGTTGATCATAAAAGTACATACAGTGGTGTAAATGGGCAAGCCGATTTAATAATGCTTGATGTCTTGTTTCTATCACGTTAAACTCAGTCTATTATATATTATTAAATAGAAGTTAAGGCCTTAAAAAAAAGTCTATTTAAAAGGGTGACTATTTGAAAATGGTCATAAATATGGAAAAAAATATTTGTCATTTTAAATTACATAAAATTATGTCATTTTAAAAGAGATACAGACACAGATTTTTTTTATTTAAATTTTAAATTATAAAAAACCATCAACTTTTTCTCTCCTATGATTTTCATTTTTCTGTGTCTATCTCTCTTCTAAAATGATATAACTTATATTATTTAAAATGACAAACACCAAACCTAATAAATATATATAGAAATGGAGTTTCCACTATTAACGATGAAAATAAGAAGTTGATCATACTACAAAAGGTCGGATATTCCTATTATCTGTCCGTACAAAAGACTATTTTGAGTTTGCAAATAACAATGAAAGAAAAGAATTAATTGGGGCATCTTACATTTTGTCATTTGAGGGCGAAAATTATTAATTTCGAAAATAAGGGTGACCAGTTTGTTTGTGAGTGACTATCTAAATTGCCCATCTTTTTTAGGAAAACAACATGGGTTTTGTTTCTATTTGGAAAAGCCAAAAGCGCAAAGCAGCCATTGAAATTAATACCATCATATGTGTGGCCCTAACGAGGTAGAATGTTAGGAAAAAGAGGTACATTTTAATTTTTGTGGATGGTTTTTCAAAAAATTAACAGTGACGTTTTTCTTAACCAGAAAATTAAAAGCTTTTTGTAAGTTTAAAGAATTGAAAACCCTTGTTAAATAGCAAAGAGGCTTTAATACGAAGATTCTAAGATCAAATAAAGATGGAGAGTTCACTTCAATTAAATTTTACAGGTTTTGTAAAATTCGTGGAATTAAATGTCAATTGGTGATAAAAGTAGTATGCAAATTTACTAATGAAATTGTGATAAATTTTGTTCATTTGTTGATTATGACCATATATATATTATAATTAATGACGAAACAACATATAAGAAGTGAATCAAGGCAAATAATGGAGAGATTTGCTAGTTAGAAAACAACTTGAGAGTTAAGTTTGGCTAAAAGCTATAAGCAAAATTAGCTAAGTATTGATTATTTTGAAATTTTTACACGAATGATTTATCTTCACTTGGATCTCAAAATCACTCGAAGATCCATCAAATGGATGTTAAATCAATATTTCTCATTAGTTTTATTGAAGAAGAAGTTTATGTGGTCACTCATGTAGAACAACCTGTGAAGAAGGGACAGGAAAATCAAATCTACAAACTAAAGAATGTATTTAGTTATGTTTTATTTTGTTTTCATATACTACTTCCAAATACAAAATAATTATAACTTTTGAAAAAAAAAAATCCTTCTAAAATAAATAAGACATAAAAAATCTTCTTCTTTTTTTTCAAAAGTCCATCCATTTATTACATGAATTGAAACAAGCACATGAAAGCATAGTATACCCTTATGGGGCATTTAGTATAGGAGAATTATTTTTTATTAGAGAAATAAATTTGCTCCGAATATGTTGGAAAGAATTTTTTGTTGAGTAAGTTAAAAAAAATGTTTGGTAGGTAAAAAATTTTCTGAAAAAATTGGATGAATTTTAATGATACTATGTGTAAAATTTCATCACCACGGAGGATTTTTTTTTTTTTTTCATCTCATCCATGGCAAAATTTCACTTATGGTCCATGTGTAAAAAAATTAGACGGGAAAAAAATTTCTCATACCTCATTTAACTCTTCCTCTTACCAAACATGGCCACATATTTTTCCTTACTCTTTTTCCCACACAATTTTTTTTTCTCTCCTACCAAACACCTCCTTCCCAGATAACTTGATATTCATAGAAAGATCTAAAAAGATGTTTGCAGAATTTAGGGACAATTCAAGATGACTAATTTTGGATTAATATTTTATTTCCTTGGCCTTGAAGGGAAGCAAATAAATAATATTATATATGTTTCAGAGCAAAAATATGCCAATGATATCTAAAGTAGATAAAAATGGAGTCCTTTTCAAACCAATTTAACACAAATGTTGGAGCTGAAGATATTCGAATGATATTATCAAGTATCATTACATGCAGAAGCTTATTATGTGGTGAGGTCGAGCATAATCTCTGCAAATTCAAAGATCATGTTACAGACATTCTGACGAAATCTTAGAAGGTAGAATCATTTGAAAAGTGAAAAGTGATGCTTGGAGTTATCGAATTTCAAACCTAATTTAAAGGCGGTTAAAAGAAATAATAATAATAATAATAATAATAATAATTAAATTTGGTATGTCAATCGAATTCCACAAACGCATGCTTGTCATTGAGTCTGTCCTTTCCTGACGTTTCTCCACTTCTCCACAGAAATGCATGCTACTTTTTTTTTTTTTAGGTACAAGGAAATGCATGCTACTGGCTAGCAATTGAGTCTGTTCTTCTCCCTTGACGTTTCTCCACTTCTTCACTCAAACGCATGCGGGCCATGACTTGTTTACAACCTGTGTTTCCAATCGTTTGCATCCTAGTATATTAAGTGTGATGAGAATTTTTTGCTTTTTTTTTCTCCTTTTATGTGGATCCATCTCATAATATAAATATCTTATTTTCAATCTTTTTTCCAGCAAGTTGTATCAATCTTTATAATACAAAAAATAATCTTATACTTAACTACTTACATTAAACTATTATATGTATACTCTTTCTTATTTATGTATTGAGCACGACCATAATATTACGATATTATAAAAAATGTTTAATATTTCTTTGCCATACGAGATAAATTATTTTATATATTCATATAAAATATGTATAACTTATATTTTCTTTCTCTCTCTTTTTATCATACAAGTCTTATATAATTTTATGTGTGTAAAAAATAAATTTATCTATTATAATGTAAGAAATGCTAAATTTTATAGAAAAACTCGCTTATCTCATACCGATGAGTAGAGAATAATTTTAATGTAACGGGTGCACACTCAGTGTTCCCTTTTATTAAACAAGGATTTTTTTTCTTTTTACTTTTTTTATAGTGTTAAAATTTGTTTTTATTTAATAAAAAAATTCCTAATTCAATGAGTGTGCACTATAAAGTTAAATAGAATAGATCTAGAATTTAAAAAAACCTATTTAGAAAACAAGCCACATGCTTTTTTGTCATGTCGAGTTTATAAGACTACAAGTCGGCCTATATTATATTATTTATTTTTAATAAATAAATAAAGTTATTATCTAATAATTTTAAATAATAAAGTAATATTATTTTAATTATTCTTTTAATTATTGAATATTTAATAAGCTTAAACAGGCTAACAGGCTTAAACCAAAGCTTTCACTTTTTAAATATAGGTCATGTCAGACTTATAATTTAGGGCCTACACAGGCTAATAGGTCAGACCAGACTCAATATTTTTTATACAGATCTAACTTATTAAGCCAAAGTCTAGTCTGTCCTAATCTATTTACACCAATGTTATTTAACCCGGTCCGGTTATTGACCCGGTCGAGGTACTAGGTCACCGATTCAACCAGTGGGTCACTGGTTCAACCGCATGAACCGGTAAGTATATGTAAATCTGTAATTTATATTAAAAAATTATAAATATACTTAAATACTTGTAAAAAATATATCAATTTCAAATATTTTAATATGAAAATAATAAATTACACATCATTGTCCAACAAAAGATCAATCAAACATATAATATTTGTGATACTAATGTTTCAGGTTCAGTAAACGACATCTCTAATTATAAATCAAATCAAATTCTCTACATATTGCATAATGAAGATAATATTAATATTGTAGGTACATAATCTATGTAAGTTAATAAACTACAAATCACTCAAATATTTCAAAAGAAAACAAACCATTTGTGTTTGAGAGTAAAAGAAATCATTAATTTATGAAAATCAATTAGTTTTTTTTTTTTATAGACCGGACTGGGTTACTACCGCCGGTTTTTACGAAAACCGACCAGGTCGCACCGGGTCTGTAACACGACTGATCCAATATAAAAATCGGACTGATTACATGACCGATTCACTAGTTTCCGAGTCGACCCGGCCGGATCGGTTCACTTTTTATAACATTAATTTACACCCTTACTCCTAGCATTAAAGTTTTTTTTCCATAAATAAATATTACATATGATCTTTTCAAAAACGAAATTATAAAAAAAAAAAAAAAAAAAGCGTAGGAGCTGGGGCCTGGATGTTATCTTTTTCTCTAGCAAATATGTGTCACGTTGTCGTTCCATCACGTGGAGGTTTGATTCCATTGACTTGCAATCGCACGACACGTGTGCATTGTAACCATTTCCCTTTCCATCTCCAAAGGGAAACTATCCTCTTCTTAAAAGACAATTACAACGCAACAACAGCATCCACAGCAGAGACAGACGCCTCGTACGCGCCACTTCATGACTTGATCCTACTGCCACTTGTAACCCAACAACCCCTTGTCCCTCCACGTGTCGTTCCCTTATCCCCTAGGGACACTCTCGGTATTTCACGCCCCCAATTTGGCCATTTTCTTCTCTTTAGACTTGAGTCTCTAACTCTTAACTCCTCACTTCGTTCAGTCGTTTTTTGTTTTCATCTTTATGCCTTTTCTTCTCTATTATTCTTTCTTTTTTTCTTTTTCTTTTTTAATCTTAATCCTATTTTCACAATCCCGGTTCTGATTTTCTCTCTCTCTCTTTCTTCCTATCTCTCTCAATTTCTCTCTCTCTGTATGCTTACAGGGAAACTGCGAGAAAATGTAAAAATAACGTATGAATTGGTCGGTTTTAAATGGAAAGCATTCAACTTTGTTTCATTTCGGTGTTATCATGAATCATCTTCGGTTACCCACAAACGAACCAAGATCCCTTCTTGAAAAATTTCACGTTTTTGTGAGGTTTGGCTATCTGGGTATTTATTAGTTTTGCAGAATTTTCCAATGGCACAGGTTGAGGACAGGGAGAAGAGTCATCATCACATTTCTTCAACATCAATGAGCAATTTCCCGAGAGATCTGTTGCAGAGGTTCGTGGCGGCGAACCACCATCACTTGCCTTTGCCGGTGGTGAAGGTGGAGCAACCTGATCATCATGCAGATGCTGATGCTGATGAAGAAGAGGAGCTTGAGCTAAGTCTTGGCCTTTCGATGAATGGTCGATTTGGGGTTGACCCGACAGCGAAGAAGATCAAGAGAACAACGTCGATACCTGAATTTGTGAACCCCGTGAGAGATGAAGAGATGGGGTATGTGGTACCAATGGCTTGCACCCCTCTCATAAGGACATGTTCTCTACCAACGGAAACTGAAGAGGAGTGGAGGAAGAGGAAGGAGTTGCAGACGCTGAGGAGAATGGAGGCAAGGAGGAAGCGTTCGGAGAAGCAGAGGAACTTGAAGGCTATGAGGGAAAGGAATCGTGCTTTTTCTGAAGAGGTTGGTTCAGAAGGTGTTGTTGAAGGGAACAATCTTGTGGTGGAGCTAGGTGCAGGTGCTTTTAATGAATTTACCAGCTTGGACAGAACGGCGTCGTTGACCACTCGTGTTTGTGGACTTGGTTTGAATGGGGAGAAGGAGAAGGAGAAGGGTGGTGGGTTGTTGCCACCTCCATCGCCGTCACAGGGTTCCATTGGTTCTTCTCAGGGAACTGGGTCTTCCGGGACCTCAGAACCTGAGTGTCAACAAGGTCAAGGTAAATTGGTGTTTAATATTTTATTTTATTTTATTTTTTATTTTTTATTTTTTGGTGCTCTGATGACGAGGTGTTTTATTGTTACTGCTGTGTCTTATTTTTGGATTTTAGTCTCTTTTTCCCCGTTTTATGCCGACTTTTAAGGATGTTAGTCATCACTGAAAGTAACAATTTTTTTACTATTTTTTCTGTTTCTTTTTAACTCTATCAAGCATAGATGTACTCTATTTTATTTTTTTTATGGAATTAATATAGACGCGAATTGGCTACATAAACCGATCAAGATGGGCTCTTGGATTCTATTGTATGTGTCACATGGTAGCAAGTCACCGACCATGGTATTCACTGCCAATGTCAATCATGTCTTGTCATGTCAGATCATGTTCATGCCTCTCGAAAACTAATCAAAATATTCCTAGTTCAGTTTGACATTTACCATATGATTTTTGTAACAACCCAACGATTCACATAATAGCATTATTTAAGCTGAAATTGCCGTTTAATTTGAAATAATACAGATCTTGGATGGTGTCAGGAATACAGAGTAATCGCAAACTTTTAGCATTGTTGTCCTGCCTTTTTTTATCCATTTTTGTAATTTCCTTCAATATAAGTGTTCCTTCAAGGTTACCTTCTTAATTTTCTTACATGGTCAAATTTGCATTCTTTACAGTGTTCGTTCAGTAAGTTGGTCGTAGTAATGATTAAGGAAAGGAATACTTTTATTTATTATTTTATATGTTTGAGGATGACTCTGAAATTTATTTATCTTCACTGGCTAGTAGTAGGACTGCTTTATAGCTCATCTGTTAAAGTTGTAATTTTGTATTATTGTCCTGATTTTGCGAATATTATTTGACATCTAGTAGCCAAATGATAAGCAGTAAGAATTCAAGGGTGTTAACGGTCGAGCCGAGTTGAGCTTTGGTCTTAAAAGGCTAAGTCTGTGTTTAAATGTGTTAGTATGAGTATGACCAAGTTTGTTACCTATTATAAATATAATTATCGGCCTATGGTGTTAGCCTGTTTAAAAAAAAACAAAAACAAAAAACAAGACAATAAAAATTTATCCAAATAGAATATACAATCAACAACACTAGTAATTCCATAAATATTCATAAATTCAATGTATATCCAGACAACATAATATAGAACAAAATCATTTAAAAAGTCTGTTTAACCATTAAAATGAGGTGAAATGGATTGAGGAGAAAGAGAGGACTATTACAAGTAGTATAAAAAGTATAAAAAAAAATATATATATATATATATACTAGGCCAGCCTGATAGGCTCTAAGGCCGAGCTTTTGAATTGGAGCCTAAGGCTTTTTTATTAAACGAGCTTTTATATAAGTTCAAGTCTTGTGTCAACAACTAATTTTAGACATGGAAGCTCAAATCTTTACGAGCTGAGCCAAAGGTCCCTGGTTCGTTTAGCACCCTAAGTAAGATAGACAAATAATATTTTAAGGGAGACAACTGGTTTAAACTTTGAAGGAAAAGCATTTTTTACATGAATTACAGGCACAAACTGAGCTCATTAGCACTAGCTTATTTATTATTATAAAACTATGTTTAACGAAGTATTTACTCAATCAGTGATTGTATATCTGTGAGAGTGCTTTCAAATCAATATCTCTTGGAACATTATATATAGTTTACTAACAGGCTTTTATCTCATTTTGGGGTATCTTGCAAGTAATGTTTTCTTCTCGTTTCAAAGAAATTGAGAAAACATGAACAAGCGGCATGAATTGTCCTTTTCTTTTGTTGGATTCTGACCTTAACCAAACTCTGCTTGTGAATTCTCCTTTGGAAAGTGTAGTGGGCAACTTCACAGTAAATATAACAATAAAGGGTTACATATAGTTCATAATCTTAACAATTCTTCAAACTGCCTCTATTTGGCAGAGAACAAGTGTTCTATGTAACTTCAGAGAAAAACTCAGAAAGGTGTGTCCCAATGGGATCTGGTTATTAATTTTGGTACCTTCATCTGATAAAAGAACTCTTAGCATTCTACTGAAAATTTCATTCAATCTATCAAGACATGAAGGAACTTTAGGTTTTCTGTGCATGAATTGCATTCTAGTTTTTATATGAAGAAAATCTATTTCAATATTATCAAAGCCTGTTTTCAACTTAATGATATGTGGATTGGGTTTGGGTTAGGGTTAGTTTACTTCTGTGTGTTAGAATTTGAGTCGGGGCTTAGCTGTCATAGTTTAACAACTTTGACAACAGAGTGGTCAAATTATAGTTTCAGATATATCTTTCTTTTTGGATATAATATCTTCATTACCATGAAAACTGCGGCCTGATTTTAAAGCTCATGTTGTTCTTGCTGTCTAACATAGTTGTTTCTTCAATTGAATCCTTTTTCATTTGGCAGCTGCTCCTATTTGAGATCTTGCAACCAAAAAGCACAAGAACGAAAGCCGCCTTTTTGTTTAGGCTTGTCCTTTGAAGAGTTACAGCATTGTTTTTGTGCTGAAGTCCTTTTAGCTGGTTTTATATAATGGTTGTACAAGGATATTCAATGCGCACAACACAACCACTTCACATTTTTAATCATACTATTGATTAATCAACGCTTCTAATGCCTATTCTTCCTACAAGACTGCCAACAACTTTTATTTTTTACTCAGTTGTGAAAGAAGTGGATCAAACACAAATATAAGCTTAGTAAATGAATTTTTATTTTTTTTTGTATGTTCAATTCAAAATTATATGCTAATCCATTTCTGCTACGCTTCAGGAACAACACCAGTGGATGCTAGAAGTCCTATTAGTGCCAACATGTTGCCAGAGGTTGAACTGAAATCACCAGTCACCTCAGGAGCCAGAGTTGCAGAAAACTCAGGCAAGATTGCTGAAGGAACAATGAGAAACCAGACTAACAAACATTCACCACCTGAAAACAGAACAAAAGACATTGTGAGGAACCTGTTGGAAGACATGCCGTGCGTGTCTACAAAAGGAGAGGGTCCTAATGGGAAAAGAATACAAGGTTTTCTTTACCGGTATGGGAAAGGTGAGGAAGTGAGGATAGTGTGCGTTTGCCATGGCAGTTTTCTCACCCCAGCTGAGTTTGTCAAGCATGCTGGTGGGGATGATGTGGCGAACCCATTGAAGCATATTGTTGTTAGTCCTAGCTTTTTGTAACTTGTGTGTGAGTGAGGCTAAGAGAAAGAACCAATGATGAGTGATCAAATTTTTTACTCTTCATTCCTAGTTCACTCATTATACTCACTGCATGTGATGTGGAAGTTATGTTCGTCCTTTGAAATCATAGACATTGTTAAGGATCTTATTTCTTTCTTATTCGGGTATCCTTTCCTTTTGTTCTTGTGTGACCTTAGAACCGTCTATAAGGAGACAATGATACTTGCTTGTTAGAATTTGAACTTAAGCTTTATGTTAGTTTCCGTTAATTTAATTATGGAGTTAAGTTTTTTTTTTTTCCTTCTTCCCTTCTAGTAAACTGATAGAAGGATTATTAGATTAATGTTACATGTATTTTTGGGGTCGAGATCAATGTTTAAATTGGTGATTTTATAATTTCTGTCATTGCTTGAGGCCGAAGACCGTTATTTAGGGAAAATGACCCTTATGCTCAAGTGAGTTTGTGGTAGGCCAATTTAGAGATACACCCTTGGGGGTTTGTAACCATCTCCTTTTATTAGATATAATTTTGTATTAGAATTAAGAGAGACTACTATTATTTCAATAAGAAAATTTTCAACAAATAATAAGCCATTATATATCAAATGATAATAATTTAGTTGGTGTCAGATAACTGAACAGGTGGGGGTGGAAGTATGTATTTAATTTTTCTCAATAATGTTTTTAGGAGGAGTTTAAAGTCTTAATTTTATGACTCATTCCGAGTTAGATTATTACGAAGCGATGAACTGATTAAAATATTTAAAAAAAAAAAAAAAAAGTTACTACATACACCAACATAACAAACGAGTCATATCGACATAGCCATTAACTGAGAAAATGGGAAGATAAAATTCATATTAGCCATATCAATACTTAAATAAATCAGTACAATCACCAATAATCTAAAAATTTAATTTTAACATTTAAGTCAAGTATTATCTAAATTAATATGCGCTCAAGCTTCATAATATGAATGAGATGTCATAGAGAATAATATAAATTATTAAAAAGATTCGCATCTAATATCTTAAGATTTTGATAAGGTCATGTGTTAGAAAATAATATAAATTATTAAAAAAAAAATTCGCGTTTTGAGTTGAAGTAGTTGTTTACATTTTAATCGATTCTTCAACGGTTCACAATATACTTAGCAACCTCCCTTTTTATCTTTACTATTGTTGTCCGGAGCCACATCAATACAATAGTAAATCATTACAATCACTAATAATCTAAAATTTTAATTTAAGCATTTTAAGTCAAAATATATTCTAAATCAACACATGCTCAAACAGCTTCGGAGCTCCTTTCGTTGACCTTCCTTGTTTGCGTTATTTTAAAGTTCTAAAATTGGGAAAGGAAGATAGAAAAGCTGTTAAATCAAAATACTTTTTTTTAAAGGAGAGTCTTATAACTTCTTCTAAAAAAAATTGTTAATTTTTGTCAATCCAATAATTATAATTTATTGAACTAATAATTAATTAATAAATATGACCTAATAAATGATAATCGTTGGATTGATAGAAATTAACAGTGAAAAATATATTATAAGAAGTTGTAAATAAAAAAATATTGTAAAAATAACGCTCCTCCTTTTTAAGATACAATTTTGAATTTAAAAATGTAATTAGCGAAAGTTTTATAAAAATACTTATTCTTTTTTAGTGCAGAAATTTTGAAAGGTTTAATTTTTGGGAAAAGTTCATAAATGTGATTTATTCTTTTATTACTTACATCTCGCTTTTTTTCTTATCAATTGTCACCTTATGACTTTTTTAATCCAAGTCCATTTTTAGCATGTTAATAATTAAACTAAATTGCACATTTTACCCCTATACCCTCTCTTTTTTGGTAGAAATTTTTTATCCCTATTTTACTTGCATAAAATGTCATTTGATTTGAAAGCTTAATCCAAGATAAAATCTTAGACTACCGCTTATAATTGAGATATTTAACTCTTATGGTTATTATATTTGATTTTGCGATTGGGAAGAGATACCAGTTGGAATCGTGGTTTTTTCTCATGTCAAGCCAAGGAGATTTTTCACAATAAATTTCAAGTGTTCTATGCTTTTTTGTTACGGTATTTTATTTTGAAATATTAACAATAATAATTACTTAAAAAATATTTTATAACACAATTAACCATTTCTTGAGTTTATTTGTGACCTAACAACTACTGCAAAAGTTTACTTTCTATCACGAATTTTTTGGAATTTACTTAGGGGTCGTTTGGTACACGGATTTTTTTCGGAATTCTGGGAAACTGAAATTTTTGAAATTTTAAATTTTCAGTTATTATCGTAAACTGAATGTAAAAATTATATTTTTAAAATTCGAGATTTCCAGACAAATAAAAATTTCTCTTGTACCAAACACACAGTTAGTGCTAGGAAACTTTTTGAAAAAGGTCACACAATAATACAGAAATGGAGTTCCCAATATTCACGATGTAAACAAGAGGATTGGATTCTCTGATCTTAAAAAAAATAACATGATCATATAACGAATCATAATCATAGAATCTCAGATTTGGTCATTTATATTTTTGTGGGCTAAAGTTATTGACTATCTAGCTAGAAAATGATGGTAACTGGTTTGCCAACGATTGACTATCTAGCTTTCTCACCTTTTCGGGAGAAGCAACATCAGGATATGCTTTTCCAAAAGAACAAAACAACCATAGGAATTAATACATACAGAAATACATGATCGATTGTGGTAGAACATTGGAAAAAAATAGGCTTATCTTAATTTTTGTAGATGATTTTACGGAAAAAAGAAAAACGTTGATGTATTTCTTAAGTAGAAAATTAGATTTTTTTTTTTGCAAATTCAAAGAATTTAGAGTGTGGATGATAACCATTTTGTTTTCGGTATTATTTGAAATAATTCTTTTCTATTTCTATGTCTTTAAACAGTTTCTGAGAATAAAAAAATGTATTTGACAACATGTTTTGTTTTATTTTTATTCCGAAAATGAGAATTGTGTTTGATAACATAAGAAATATAGAATAAAAAACTATTCTTATTAAGCATAATTTTTTTCCGGATAATCACTTTCCTTTTCATATGGTGTAATGGTAGCAACAGTGGTGGTAATAGTGGCGATGGTGGTGGTGGTAGATTGGTAGTGATAGAGGTGATGGAAGTGGTGGTGGTAGTGATGACAGTCGCGGTGACGTGGAGTTGGTGGTGATGGTAGCATTGACATTGGTGATGGTGGTGGTACGACAACGATGACGGTACGACGAGCGGAGACGATGGTGGCGATGGTCATGTTAGGACAGTGGTGGTGGTGGTGGTGGTGGTGGTGGTGGTGGTGGTGGTGGTGATTGTAGTGGTGGAGAGTAATTGAAAGAGACAAGTGTTTCTCATTTTGTGTTTGGGTAAAAAAAACATTTTTATTTTTTTTTGTCTGTTTCTCAATACAAAAATTGAACTGGTTCATTCTTGGGAAAAATAAACCGGTTTTTTGAAGCACTGTTTCTATTCGTTTCTATTTTTTGGAAACAAAAATTGAAAAAAAAATTAATTCTAGGAAGATTATCATGCACACCCTTAAACTCCCTATTGAAAAAAGAATGTTTTAATATGAAAATTATAAGATCAAATAAAGTCAAATGAGTTTTACATGTTTTGTAAAATTCATCCGTTAATGATCAGCTATACTTCTTAGGTAAATGGTATAACAAAAAGAAAGAATAGGCCAATTTTTGAAATGGTAAGAAGCACGTTAAAAGCTAAAAAATTATTGAAGCATTTTTGGGCATAAACTATTGCATATGCTGCATTTTGTGTAACAAGAAGTGTCATGAGAAGAATCCTGCGAGAGGCCTAAAGCATCGTCAAGTCAGCTTTCCCATTCATACGATTTTTTGGGAATGATCAGTCCTGGGGGATCCTCATGATTTGCTCCCAACAAGTGGGTGAGACATCAAAGTGTTTTTATTGATTATAGATGTAGGCGGCTTGAGATTGATTTTATAAAAAAATTTATAAATGAACCAGAGCAGAAGTCTCAGAGCAGTCATTGTTGACTTAGGAAACCTATTTAAAGATGCTTTTTTCACGGGGAAGTATGTGAGTGTAAAGAACTTTGCGATACATCACCTCAAAAGTTAGCTCAAAGGATGAGAGTGTCCAAGACCTTATAAAGGTCATATTAGTTACCCATCCAATCAATGTGGGACTATATATCTCAACACGCCCCCTTACGCAAGAGCTCTTTAGGCTAGAAGGGTGGAAATTGCACAGGCCCATTTTTGGTTTACCTTTTTGTGCTTTTTTATATTTATTTTAATTTTACTTTTTTTTAAAGCGGGAGACGGTGAGGCTCTGATACCCTGAAAAGAACGTTGGGATAGTAAGTGAGAGTGGGTGAAACCTAAATAGAAATGCATCTCCCAAAATTGCAAAGTTACCTATATACAAATGCATCCCCAAAATTAAAGGAAGTCTAAATAGAAAGGCCTTTCCCGCAAATTATGTAATTATAGTTTGTCACCAATGGTTTAAGAGAGCATTACGATATGTTAATTTAGCAAATTATTAGGCAACCTTTCTAAGTTTTTTTCAAACTTTCAAAGTCACCACGTGGTGATCCCGCAAAGCTTTTTTCATTGGTAGTAATCCCACAAACTCTACATCCCCCAAATAACTTATTCATGAGGATATACATCCAGCAAACTATCATCCCCAAATTCCTTTTCATGAGGATATAGATCCCGCAAATTATCTTTCAAAAAAAAAAAATTGTACATCATGTTTATTCCTTTTTTGTTGAAATATACATCCCGAGAATCATCCGCCAAAATTGAAAGCTAGCATAAATAGAAAGATAACCCCAAAAATTAAAGTAAAACCTAACTAGAAAATCATCCCCCAAAATTGAAAGGTAGCCTAAATAGAAATGCATCCCCCAAAATTAAATGGAAGCCTAAAATAGAAAGACATTACCCAAAATTTTGAAAGATACCTTATATAGAAAAGCATCCTTAAAATTAAATGGAAGCCCAAAATAGAAAGGCATCCTAAAAAATTAAAATATAGCCTATATAGAAAGGAATCCCAAAAATTGAAAGGTAACTTGAATAGAAAAACTCATCCTCCAAAAGTAAATGTTGCGTAAAATCGGCAAGTGCACCGATCGTACCAAGTAATAAAAGTGAGTAAAATATCGTTCCACGAGGACTGAGGCACCAAATCTAATTTTAACTATCCCTCTCTTAATTGGATGAACAAAAGAGGTTTTTAAAGTAATTGTAACGTGACAATTGTGAACCGTTCAATATTTCGTGAACAATTCAGAGAGAAATTTGAAAAAATTAAAATCAAAGATTGAGAAT